AGAGATCATGTCCCTCTCTGCCGCGACGCCCAAACACCTGAAGAGCCTGGCGCTGCTGCCCCAGGACTTTGTCGAGGACAGCGGTACTATTGATCGTAGTTAGCACTGACAATTCTCCAACAAGAAAGGTTGCTTCTCCTAAACTCTGAGGCTACCATAAGCAATACTTATATAATAACAAACTGTGGCCCAATTTACAAGTGTCTTGTATCCGGAAAAACAGACAACAACAGATGTCAATTGAGACACTTTCATTTACACATGAACTTGTCTCTGTTGGCCTGATGGTAAATGTGATGTCAATCTGACTTCTCCTCCTGGGCCAGGAGAAAGTGGCGATACACTAGGAACTGTCTGGAAACTAATAAATGCCAGGACAAGAAGAAGTTTAGTTGCTCACCCCAACTGGCCAAAAAGGAGCATGTTTAACCTCCAGATAAAAGGAGGGTGTTTAATCTCAAAAGCCAGTAAAAAAATCACCTGGTCCAAAGCCATAGAAATCACCAATGCGGACATAGAATATGAATTTGCCCCCCGACGGTGACTAAACAAACCACAGCCGTGTCTCCGGGTGGCTGCCCTCAAATGCCATATGGGACGAAATAGCTTCAGCACCATTAGGGGCCACCAGGACGGACAGTGTCACACCTGCACTCTGCAATCTGTTTACTGCAGTGAAGCCAGATAATGAAGCAGAAAATTACCTGCTAACTGTTACGCAAAGAGTCTCACATACATTTCATCAACAGAGGGCTGAACAAATAATTTTTCACAGCAAGAATTGTGTTTCACAGCTTAACTTTTAACCATTTTCTACATCAACAAATGTTTTGGGGTTTTTATTTTGCCCACCAGAAACGGAGATCAACTTCCTGCTGAAACAGGCGCTCACCATCGTGGCCACGCTGCCGTTCACCTACATGCTGGAGGAGTGGAGGTGGCAGGTGTTTGCAGGGAACATCACCAAGGATGAATGGATGCAGCGCTGGTGGGAGATGAAGTAAGCAGAGGTGGATATGAGGTGTCTGCAAATAATCCGCTTAATAAATGCTGGACAAAATTACAGGGTAAATTTTTTAAAATAAACCTGCTGACGGAAACATCCCTTGAAACAGATATGGCCCCTTCAGACAGACTTCCTGTTGTGTGACATCACCAGCTGACTCTCTGTTTTGGTGACAGGAGGGAGCTGGTGGGGGTGATGGAGCCGGTGGCGAGAGACGAGACCTACTGTGACCCGCCCGCTCTGTTCCATGTGTCTGGAGACTACTCTTTCATCAGGTAACACTCCCGAAGTAAAGCTGCGCCTCAATGAAATACATTTGTTCTTTCTCAAAATCAGTTGCTGAGCGTGTTCTGGCTTCTCAAGATTCATCTGAAAACGTTTGAACATATTTTGATAAAAGTTGCAGGAACAAGAAACATCAGGGTTTTTGCAGCAGAATCGTTTACTATCGTTAATTCCATAACATTTTAAATTCAACCAAAAAAAAGCTTTTGCTGTTTTCTGATGAACTCACAACGTTTTCTTTTCACATTTTGTGTTAAAATAAGTTTGCTAATTATGACTATTATATTGTTTATCAGTTTGTCAAGAATCCTGTCAACAAGTACACATTTCAAGCCAAACCACGATCACTTAACCTAAACATCATAATGTAGTTAGTTGGTTAGAAGAAAAGGCAGTTTAGTTCTATGGGAACGTCATTTTGTTATTTGTGTGGTGTGTGTGTGTGTGTGTGTGTGTGTGTGCATGCCGCTGGTTGTGAATACAGGTACTTCACAAGAACCATCTACCAGTTCCAGTTCCAGAAAGCTCTGTGCGATGCGGCTGGTCATACGGGCGCCTTGTTTAAATGCGACATTACTGGTTCTAAAACGGCAGGAATCAAACTGAGGTACGAACAACTTCCTGCTGCTCTGAAGGCCGTCACAGAATCAGATATCATTGTTCTGGTTGTCCCTGTGAAATGCAACATTAATGTGTCATTATCATCAATGCTTCCTTCCAGGAACATGTTAGAATTGGGAAGGTCCCAGTCGTGGACCAGGGCTTTGGAGACGATATCCGGGGATGTTAAAATGAACGCACGGCCTCTGTTGGATTATTTCCAGAAGCTTCATGACTGGCTGCAGGCAGAGAACAAGAAAAACAACAGGAGAGTAGGCTGGAATACAGGAATAACGGCATGTGAGTGCAAACAATACAGATTCAAAGTACATTCCTATTACAATAATGAAGAATTTTTTTAAAGTTATAGTTTGACACGTCGGACCAATTGCTTATCAGCTTTCGTGTCCAGATTTATGGTAGATAAGGATGCAGAATGACTGGTGAAACCGCCTGCTCAGCTCTGTACCTGCACCTGTGAAGCTCACCAGTGAAGAAATCCTGGCTTATCTGATGCATTTGCAGTGTTGTGTGACGGACTATGACTTGTCCCGTAATTTATCGCGGTTTTATCGTCACCAGGAAGTTCTCAGGCAGACTGCTCCCCGATCACAGCCGACACACTTACACACACACAACGCGTGGCTTTTACACTGTGCTCTTTGTGCAGTATCTACAAAGCAGATCTAAAATTTTCATTTGTTAATGTTAAACTTGTATATGTTGAAATCTTCTCTTCTTATTCTTAGGAAAAAAACTGTAAATAAGCACAGTGGCCAAAATGCCGAGCTATTCTGCTTCCCTTCTGTACTGCTTATCCTGGTTGACTGTATCCATGCGGCCATAGAGTTTATGTATTTAAGTCCACACCAAACGTAGTTATTTTGACTGTAACTGTTATCGCTCCATTATTTAATACCTGCAACTATGAAAAAGGTGATGTCACTTGAAATGTTTGCTCTGCCACTTCACAGAAGGGTCAAAATATAGACTTCAGTCTCTGCAGGTTTTCATGCCAAACATCTGTATGACACAACCACGTAACCCTTTTACGTATTTCTTAAAGAGAATGTTAAAGACTTTTGTCTTTAAGATGTTTGTGATTTCATGACTGAAGAACCACAATATCATGGACCCTGTCTGTCGAGCTGTAGAGTAAGTGCTGGCGTTTGGGTGATAAAGTCAAAAGTTATGGCAGTTAAAGTCATTACGACACCACAAAAATATATTTTTTGACAAAGAGTGGTTGATATCTAAAAAACAAATCCATATGCTGTGAATCGTTCAGCTAAATGTTCGATGTGCCAATGTGTGTGTTCAATGTTTGGTAAAGATTGGAGGAAATGTATTTGTATCAAAGTTATTAAGTAAGTTAAGTTAGATATTAAGTTATTATGTTTTTTTGGTTTTTACAGCTTCAGGATATGATATTAAAGTGAGGCTCAGTTTGAAGGCTGCCATGGGTGACAATGCTGTGAGTATTATTAATCATTATCAGTTATTACAGTATAAAGGTTGCTTATATGACGAGTGAAGAGTATTTTGCACCTTTGAAGTGAACTTGGGTTGGCGAATATTAATCAAGTGAAATGTGTTTCAGTATTCCTGGAACGCCAACGAGCTGTACCTGTTCAGGGCCAACATCGCATACGCTTTGAGGCAGTACTACAGCCAAAAGAACCAGACCCTCGACTTCACGTCAGTACCATCTTTAATCTGAAAACAAATATTCTTCATGCTTTGTTTCCATCTCTGCCTTTTGTGTCCATTTGTTGAAGAGCTTTTCTTGCTTTGTACCGGCAGAGCAGAGAACATCCAAGTGTATAAAGAGACTCCCAGGATCTCCTTCTACATGGCAGCTACCAACCCAGCCAGTCCCTCCATGTATATCCCAAAGGGGGACGTGGAGGCGGCCATACGGTGAGGCACAAAATACGGGCTGCAGCGCGCTGGGTTTGCATAAGCAGGTGTGGTGGTCGGGTTCAACCCACCTGTCGTCACACACGGGAGGTGGCAACAATGTGTCAGACTTCGCCTTACACATTATTTCAACAACTATTGGTTGATTTGCATCACAACGTCATACCAGAAGCTCTTTGGGCCCAGACCTCTAAGGACGGTGCTGATCCTCTGACTTTTCTGCAAAAACTTTGCTAAAAGCCCCCCGGCCCTCTCCCCCCAGGTGTGAGCGTTCCCAGTAAATTGCTCTAATTGCTCTGATCTACTCTGTATGACTTTTCACTGGGAACAGTTGATGAGTGTGAGCACTAACAGACCCATCCCACTATCGATCCCAGGTTATCTCGAGGCCGAATCAACGATGCCTTCCAATTGGATGACAGGACGCTGGAATTTGAGGGTATCCTAGCGACGCTCGCCCCTCCTGTGGAGCAGCCCGTGCAGGTGTGGCTGGTGGTGTTTGGGGTGGTCATGGGAGTTGTGGTGCTGGCGGGCGTGTACCTCGTCGTCTCCGGGGTCAGAGAGCGCAAGATGTGAGTTGTTTTTTTTCCGTCTGGAGACTGAGACTCGTTTCTACCGCGTTGGACCAGTTAACTTCCGTATCTGTGAGGCATAAACTGCATGTTTCTCGCTTGTTTGTAGGAAATCTGCAAAGAAAGCCATGGAGAACCCTTACGAAACGGACACCGATGGACAGATTAACAAAGCCTTTGAGGACATTGACAATGAGCAAACTGGTTTATGAGTCCACTGAAGAGGGAAGGTGCCGTCAAAGCGAACCTCTCTTCACACATCAGCACTCTGCAAAATGTCTTCACATGTTTTGCATTTTAGTTTGTCAGGTTATTTGATAGTGAATATCCTTGTAAAACAGTCAATTTGACAGCAGGTAATTGTAGTTTACAAATGATACCTCCATCCAAATCTTTTAAAAGTGTACTATTTTGAAAAATATACTATTATACTGTTAGTGTTTAAGTAGGATAACCGTACAACAACACTTAAGTTGCCTTGACTTTGCTAATTTGAGTATCATTTTTTTGTAATAATAATTACATTATATATACAGTATATTTAATTTAAATTGTTGCATGTCTCTTTACTAATGTATATCCGAACGTGTTGAATAAACAAACTTATTATCAGGAAATCAGTTCACTCACTTTTATTTTGAATATTTAATTGTTTTATAAAATCACCTGAGAAATTATTAACAACAATATGCTTAAAAGGAAACGTTACTGATTGCAGGATTACATAAACAGACATTTAGATATAGTTGTATGATACATATCTACGCACTTCTGCAATAGCAGAATTTGACGCAGTGACGTAGGATTTCTATCACTGCCCAACGTGGGTCAAGCTCCTCTCATGTTTTTCTTTTCTTTAAAATCAAGTCCCAAAGAAAATCTGCATGTGAATTTGAATGACAATACGTCTGAAAAGATTTAGTCTCCCTCAAGTCTGTATGACAAAGAAGAACGATTCGTCCCCCTTCCTTCCATCCAGGTTTGCCATCCCCACTGAGTTAGCGAAGGTGGTATCTATTTTGATGAACCAGTCGGCGTGCAGCGCCGACTCAAACGTCCGCTCTTTGGTCCCGTCGGTCTTCATGTAGAAGACGAAGGAGAGGGCGCCCTCGTCGTTCTTGGAGATCTTCTTCAGCTTCTGCTTCTCGCAAGTCTGCAGCAACAAAAAACACGTGGACATCCGTCAACCTCCTGACCAAATACCTGCACCCACGCCGTAAACAGCATGACAGTAGACTCCATACGCTTTACTTTATTACATACCAGTGAATACATTATGTAGGTGGGAGTCCCAGGTCAAGTTCTCAAACCCACACTTTGGGTTTTTGAGCTGCATGGAGATCAGAATTCTTCACCACATGCCCCTAACTAGTAGTAAAACACGGATCTGTCCTGGTGGTCACACGTTATCTCGCAGTACATTCAAATGGAATGAGGGCTGTTTCCTTGACATTCTGAGACCTCGAGCAATGCAAACATAAGCAGAAATTATTCTATGTCTGACCCTTACGATAAACACAACTTGTCTGAAAGGAACTACTGTTTTTCTTTTGCTGTTCTCTCTCAACAGTGTTTCTGATATTTGACCCACTAGATGGATACTGGCCTTAAGCTTTTACATTAAGTGCACATGAACCATGTCATTACCTCAACTTGTAAGAACACCCTTTCGCCTTCCTTGCAGCACCTGAGGAAGCAGTTGGACTTGCTAAAGTTTAGTACCACTGGCTGTCCTCTGAAGGAGGAGAAACTGGTAGACTTGTAGAAGTAGATGGTCATCTCCTCTGTACATGGAAAACATAAATAAATCATTTGAAAGCTGAAATACGAGCATGAGCGTAAATGAACCAGTAGGTGCTCTGAGTGACCGACCTGGGTTCGGTGACGCATAGATGGTGTTCTCTGAGCAGAGACCTCTAAGGTATTGATGAGTAGCCAAATGTTCGATTGGAGTGTCCAACGACTTTATGTGACTGAAGCTTCCACCTCCTCTTGAAACTGGATGAAGCCAAACAGGGAAGCGTCAAACAGAGGTCATGTAGGTCATAGTTCACAACTCCACGGTGGTTAATCCCTCAGTTTCCTCTGTGTGTGAATGCAATATTTGTATTTCTACCAAGCGATCCTGATATCAGTGAGGACTTTAAATATGAATATATATTTGAATGTAAGACAAATTAGACCGACAGTAGAGAAGCACAACTCACTCACCAAGCACCACCTGGCTGGACTGTGACACCATCACGACGTCGTTGAAGGTGCACCCCGCCTCGTGACACCCCTCACAGGGGCTGTCGCTGTCGCAGCCCCTCCCGCTCACCACGGAGATGGTGGTTTTCGTCATGGATATGATGAGCACATCTCCAGCGCCTCCACGCTCCTCCCTTTCAGGTTGGCAAACACCCTCCTCTCCGCCCCCCTCCTGCCCCGCTTCACTCCGCTCCAGGTCCTCCATCCTCCTCATCTCCATGCTGAAACTGAGCACCGTGGACTCCTTGGAGAAGGGTTGTAAAGTGTCCTCAGCGGAGAAGAACTGCTCCGTGGGCTTCTTCTTCTTGCAGGCCTTGTGGACTGTCTGAGACCAGAAGAGGGTGGGGGGGGTAGAGAGGAAAATACCAAACATTAAATAGTTTTGTGTGTGAATTCTAACTCACAGTTTTGCTACTGACAATATCTATGTATATACTATATATTGTAATAGCATTGTAATAGTGGATTATTACACTAAAATAGTCTGAAGTGTGCTAGAATTGTCAGCCCACGAACTCACCAGCATCGGATTATCTTTAGCCAGCGACTCCGCCAGCTCTTCAGGTGTGACATCCTGCAGGTCTTTGCCATTTAATTGCATCAGTTTGTCTCCTCTCCTGGGAATAAAACCATCCACAGCATGGGGACTTTGTTAATGTTAACTAACTTTCTCATAAGCCATTTAAGGCTTTTTGCTTGAAAAGAAAGAAGACTATTGTGAGTCCGCAGAGTTTCAACCACTTTACCGAAATTATCAAGAAGTTATTAAAGCCCCGGTAAACTTTTCCCTTATAGTTTGAGTAATTGGAGTCTACAACAGAAATGTTTCTACTTAAGTGAGAATAGACATATTTTTAAAAGATTAAAAGGCAATCAAATAAATGTTGTGATGTCACATACTCCTGTTGTCCAATCAGATTTAGAAATATTTTAATCTGAATCAGATGACAACCGGCTGGTTGATGATCAACAGACAAAATCCGAAATTCATTCATAAAGCCCATAATGGTTTTCCTCATTTTGTCTTTGTTCCTCCTTTCTCCTTTTTAAACGTGATTCATGACTGACAACGTTGGGTTTTTTAAAAATTGTCCTCAACTTCATCATCTCCTTGTGTGAAAATCCCACTTTATTACTTAATCTCATCCCATTTATTTAAAGATCTTCATGCTCTCCCCCCCCCCGTTGCTGTTCTTACAGCATCCTCTACCCAGTAAATGTTCCTTATTACACATTTTTTATCTATTTATTGGATTTAATCTAAAGCACTTTGTGGTTCGTGGATAGAAGGCGCTTTCCAAGTGAAATCCTACTCTTTTGTTTTATCCTCAACAACAAAACGCCTCTACACACATTGATTTAGTGTTGACAAATGATTCATACCTGACAAACGCTTTTTCACTCGCTTTTTTGAACCTGACATTTTCCACTTCGTACTGGTGCTTTCCCTCGCGGATGTGATGAGCGATCAGCACGCCTCCCTTAACCACAGCATCCTGACACTTTGACACAAACAAACAAACATCAACACAATGTACACAATCATGTCTTTAAAATCGCCTCTCACAGATTATTTGAGCCCGGTTTGAAGAGTTTGTCACCCACAGCCAGATCCATGGTGCTGCTGGTGACCGCTGGCGACAATGAAGAGAGTGAAGGCGACACCAGCAAAGAGGCAGACAATTTAAAGGCTGCCGTCTGTTTGTGCTTCTGCTTTGCACGGCTGGAAGGGAAGTAGAAGCAGGGCAGCGAAGGATGTGAAACCGAGGTCAGAAGAGGAAGTGAGCGAGGATCAGTAAATATTAAATTAATTCTCTACTCCTGGATTTTTTCTTTTTTTCCCATTGTTAGAAAACAGAACTTGAGGAGAAATGTCATCGGTAGATTGTTTGTTTTAGTGAACGGTGACACGCTGACTCTCGCACATTCATGTGTGTTATTCTATGACTGGATGTTCACTTTTCACCAATTATCTGGACGCAGGTGAACAGCAAAAATAGGAAATATAGTTTGTGTCTCATTACACATAGGAACTACCGAGGCTACAACTTCCTCTACGACAGTGAAGCGCTGTGATGGATATGCAGTTATACTACGTGTGGTTTTACTTCAACCACAAACGGAACAATCATTAACGGTTCTTCACAATATTGCTTCTCGTAATGTCAGGATAACATTTTATTAAAAAGGTTAATGTAGTAAAGAACTGCTTGTATAGCGTCTGAAATTTGCGGGGTTTTTTTTCAAAATGACAGTGATCTGCTTTCAATAAGTCCACCTGTGCAGTATGAAACATGTTGTATTCTGTGTACTACTTGTGCTGATACTAAACTAAAGAAAATACCCCACAATAAAGAGTCCTGCATTAAAAACCTTACTTCAGTAAGTATTATCAGAAAAAAATGTCCTTTAACTATCAACTACTCATTATGAGGTAAATTGTTCTTTGTATTTTTCTATTGTACAGCACATCATATGTGTGCTATCAAGGTGTCTGCTGCATTCTACTACTGGAAAATAGCACGTTTTTTAATCTACAGCAATGCAACACATTCGGTCTGATCTTCATGTTTATAGCCTTGCTGTCCTGTGAGAACCACAAAAAGAAGAACATATGTCTCTATGTCAGGAAATAGAAGAATTTTCACAAATATATTCAAAAAGAAACACTCACACAGTTTATCTCAAACATTAAAAAACAACAAATTAGAATTTGTATAGTAGTAGCGAAGGGTGTGAAAAACGCTAATTCGAAAAGGTTTAAGTACAGAACTGTTTTAATACTGGGACGAGTTGTGCTACTAAATGTGTTCTCACACACACACACACACACACACACACATACTGAAGCTATTTCCAGTCCAGCTAAATCTGTAGGCGCTGAGGTGGATTGAGTTACATGAGGAGCACACGCCACGGTCGCAAAACACTCAGGTCTGCCACCGACCAGCTCGTCCAGCGTCTCCGAGGCCTGCAGCCGGTGGAAGACCCCAACTCAGGCAGGTACTGATTAACACACTGCTTCAACTGGTCAGACAAAGATTTGTCACAAGATGTGGTTTGAAATGTGTAGTTGGGTGCGGAGTGACTCATGAAGACCGGGAAGAAAGAAAGGGCAGCAAATACGTGTGAATTAGTTTCCATCTGGGATTGAATTTGGACTTTTTAGGGAACTGGCTCTGGTTTTGAAAGTAACCACCAACCCTTGTTTGTAACTCTGGCAACGGGGCAACGTCTGTTCTGTGCGTTTCAGATGGTGATGCTGGATGTGGTCATAGTGGGGGGCGGACCGCACGCCTTGACCCTCGCTAGCTTGCTACGCAACACTGAATCTGATCCAAATTCTGACCGCAGACATGACTCACACCACCCCCCCTCCCCCGACAACCCCGCAGGGCCTCGGGCAGACCCGGAGACCTCAACCTCCAACAAGGAGCGCTGCGGTGGCAGGAAGAGCGGGAGGGCGACCGCTGGTACGCGAGGGTTTCTCTCCCTGAATCATGGATACGGGAGGTTTAGAAGTCCAGACAATTGATTCTGAACTTCTCTGGTGATCGCATCATTGTTTAGGTCAACCGCCGGCACCATCCAGTTCATACATGTTGAGGTTCTGCTGTAATGGGCCTTCTGGAAAAGAAACCTCTTTATGTTGCAGTTTTAGACTGTGGTTTGTTAATTAGGAAGACCCTGAAGGATATTTGTTCATTTGCCAAACTATTCATGAATCAATTCACTGAGAAAATGATGATGAGGTCCAAAACATTTGTACTTTTATAAAGGTACTCTTTCTATTGATTTTCATAATCTTTATTTAGTAAATCATCTAAAGTATGACCTAAATTGCTTCATCGACAGTAAATGTAAGAGTTAAATGGAACATCTTGATGTAGTAGCGGTCAGGGTGCTTCTCATTTGTTTCCCACAACTCAGATTTAGGATTCACCCAAATCCTAATTTGGATTTGATTATACATTATTCAAATTATGAAATAGCCACAAAAATAAAAATGAAAAAAGTAAGAGTGACTTCTTCATTGTTTACGCAAAGCCTTCTAATAAGTGAATCAGAGTATTTTTTTAATCCCAAATGAATGAATCAGATAGTCTAATGTATCCGGCTTACAGATCCCTGTACCGTTGATTCTCCTGTGTTGATTTTCAGCTTTACAATCAGACTTTGTTCATCAGATTTGAAATGTTGTTGAGCCACGTTTCAATCAGATAAGGCACAAAAAAAAGTGAATGATGCTTTGTTGCTGGGACTACTTCTTCATTTTGACACACGCTAGAAGTGACGCAGTTCAAACCGACTCTCGGCTCACTTACTCTGTTCTTTGTGATTCCTTTCTGAAGGCCCGACACCGCCGGAGCAACCAGCAAAGTCCACGAAATCAGAGAGGCTGGACTTTCCCCCCATGAGTCTCCGAGTGGTGGATTCTTATGGAGCTTGGACCTCTCTGTGGGAGAGCCAGTTCACAGCCCTGAACATCCCCCATCTGCGCTCACACACACTGGTGCACACAGATCCTCTCAACAAGGTAGAAACACCAACTTCCCCCTCAAGTAGAAGCCACAAAAGGTGCTTTTGAGGTACAGATGTGATCGAGTATGTTTGCTCCTTCAGAAAGCCCTGCAGGAGTTTATTTTAAAGTCGGACCGCTCCGCAGAGCTTCACAGCCTCCCAGACCAGGTCTACATTCTGGACGAAAATGCATTTTTCAATGACATGAGGCTCGGCAAGAAGGAGAGGAAACGTCTCAACATCACCTCGACACTCAGGAAGAGTTTATCCTTCAGTTTGCCTGGAACCAAACTAAGTGTGGACTTTTTTAAAGACCAGGTTAGACACAGTGCATGTGTGAGTCTGTTCAGCCATCTGAAATCATAGAAGGAATTATATGAAGCAATCGTATAATCACAAGTTCAAGTTTGCATTAAGCAATATATATTACACAACAATCCTGGCGTGCTGCTGAGTTGGTGAATCTGAACATGCAGGTGGAGAGATACAACTTGGACAAAGTGCTGCTGAAGGGAACAGTGGAGCGCATCACCCCAGTGATGGAGGACAGGGCTGACTTCATAAGAGAGGGTGAAGTCACACGAGTGAATGAAGGGAAGAGGGTAAAGTATTTTCAGGTCCTCCTTCAAGAGGGCGTCCTCCTAAAAGCCCGCCAGGTGGTTATGGCGACGGGTCCGACCAGTGCCCACATGGCCAACATCCCCTCATGGGTGAAGAGCATCGCAGAGAGCTTCCCAGAGGAGCGTTTGCAGCACACTGTGCACCTCATGCACCGCCTGCCAGCTGCTCGGCAAACACTCAAAGCCACAGATAGTCCGAGTTCGAGACTCAACGAGGCTTCTCCCACTCAAGGTAAGTCATCTTTCCTCCGAGCATTATGTTACATCGCAGTAATACAGAAAAGCTTCGCAGGAAAAAAACGTCTTGTCAGTTTTTTTTTAAACGGAATTACTTGTTTCTTCTTTCCCCTAATAAAGAATAACACTTCTCTTCCACCGGGGGGCTTACGGGACTCCGCACACATCGGTGGCGATTTGATCCCCCACCCTCGCTGCAACACTTTCCTTTACAAGTGCTGTTTGTGTGTGTAGACCTGTGTGTAGTGTGCGAGGCAGGGCAAAGAGTAATGGTAGTTGGTGGAGGTCTGACCAGCGCTCATGTCGTCTCAATTGCCCTGCAGCGCGGCGCCAGCCATGTGACGTGGGTCATGAGGAAGCACCTCCAGGTCTAGTGACAGTGTGAAGCTGCATGCAGACCAACCATACCTGTAGATGCGCCCGTCGGCCTCCAGCACAAGCGTTTCTCCCCCCTCCCCGTTGTTTTCTCCCGCAGCTGAAGCAGTTCGACGTGGGCGACGTGGAGAGCCTGGTGGGTCGGTACTCTCACGTGGAGCACGGCATCAAGATGGACGGCCAGGCCTACCTCAGGCAGTTCTACAACGAGCGCAGCCTCCACAAGCGGCTGGCTATGATTCGCCAGGCGAGGAAAGGAGGCGCCGTCACGCCGGAGGCCTACGTCCACCTGCAGCCGTCCATCCTGAGTGGACGGGTGGACGTGAAGACGTACTGTCAGGTAGAGGCGCGTGGGCCGTCCCGCTATGTGCGAGGGTTGAGAGTGTGGTGGAAGTTTTTACCCGAGTCTCATGCGACTGCCCAGGTGAGTGAGGCCAGCTGGTGCTACCGCGGCCAGGCCTGGCGTCTCTCCCTCAGCACTGGGGACCACTGGACCGGAGACATGATCTGGCTCGCCACCGGCTGCAAACTTGATGTCAAACAGGACCCTTTGCTATCTGAGGTGATGAAGGAGTTCCCCATTCAGGTGGGTGGAACAAACAAAAGATTTCAGAAATATTCTCTATGTAGAAAAAGTTAGGGAAGTGGAACTTAACCGACGTTGTATTTGTTTTTTAAAAATATTGAGGGATGCTGCGATAAGAACAATGGAGTAATATATGCATTGGTGTTCCCTGCATGAAGGTGATAGACGGCTGGCCGTGCGTATCAGAGAGCTTACTGTGGGCACAAGGGTGCCCCCTCTACCTGATGGGGCAGTATGCAGCTCTTCAGGCAGGTCTTCTACGGTGGTTTAGTGGGCAACAATAGGTCTCCACAACAATTTGGACAATTGTTTCACTGACTGCGTCGCTTATGTTTTTTTCCCCCCAAACACAGGTTGGACCTCATGCGGTCAACCTGGCAGGCGGACAGGCTGCCAGCATGCGAATCGCCAAGGACATCATGCGCCAGCAGCGAGGGGACAACGCGAAGCCTTCTGAACAGAGAGGGGAGAAATCTAAACACGAAGAATATATTCAACAGATGCAGGGTCTACTATGGCTTTAATGTTACCGGTCATCTACTCGTGTGGACTTACTATGGGACTATGTGGCCTTAATTAAACAGATTGGACTAAAAACAATAAATGCTGTGTGACTTTTTTGGACATTAACTACAGGTATATTCATACACTTCAATTCAAATCTGTTTTAGCTCAGTGTTTACAACATGGATGTAAGGTTATTCTGGTGCTTGACTCTCCCCAGTGAGCACAAGACGTAATTTCAACGTTGAAATATGGTTGAAATCGGGTTGAAATGAGGTCTGAACGTCTAAGACCTCATTTCAACGTCTTTTCAACCGGCTAAAAATGGGATGAAACATCAACGTGCCAGAAAACGTCAATTTGTTGACAAATGTGTCATGATGTAACGTAAGGTTGAAAGATAGACGATATTAACGTTAAGATTTTCATAATAATTAATGAACTGGTCGGCGAAATTTGGTCTACGCGAAGACGTAATTTCAACGTATTTAATATTTCACTTAAAACGTCATAATTATGAAACTACGGACTGCATGCTGTTAATAAGATGCGTTTAAGACATAATAATGCGGGCAGGTTCAAACATTACTTGTAAACACGTGACTCCGCTCACATCTGTAACGCGCATGCGCGAGTTCTTAGACGCCTGCAGAGCTCCGAGCGGACGAGGCGAAGTTACGGCAGCGGAGCGACATGAACGGGCTGATAGAACCACGACTACCGGCTCCACTGCTCTGTAAGTACGGGAGTGTTTGGATGAAGCACACATGGAACTATAACCGGGTGTTTTACTTGTGCTGCCCACCCGATACGGGAAAGACGGTCCTTTTTGTTAAGCTAGTTAGCGTTAGCGCAGGTAGTTTGCTAGTTAGCATGCTAGCTTGGAGCATGCTAGCGTTCAGCATGATGACCTGGACCAAAAGTAAACATCCCAGAATATTTTTCGTGTGTTTGGTGTTACTAATGCGTTAGGTTGTTGCTGTACCCATAAATGTTATTGCATTTCACATTGAAAATACGTTTTTAAAGCAATGGGGGCTAAATACAGATTGCAAGGGTGAAGGGCTGAATTCAACAAGTTGTGCTCTGTAAACAAGAGGGACAACACATTGTAAGTTACTGCTGCTTAAAGCATGATACTGTGTAATATACCTGGAAATGTTACTCCAGAAATACCATAAGTTGCAGATGAATTGTTATCTTGTTGATAATGTAATAAGTAAACCATCTATAAATGAGGATTCTAACACACCTGCTGCTGCTGTTATTATTATTATTAGTTTATTACTGTCATCATAAACCCAAATGACCAACTTTGCCGTTGTGCTTCCCTCCTCACAGGTTTCTGCGGGTGGTGGTTGCATCTGATGGAGGTTACGTCTGATGATGGTTGTCCCTGCACTGGTCCTGCCTTACCCCTGGCTTAGTAATCCACAATATTAGAATCATTTCTGTCGTAGGAATTGGATGTACTGTACATCTTTAAATTGTTCATACTCTACACACCTTCGGCCTTGCTGTTTTCTCCTCAGGTTTCTCCCGGTTGAAGGTTTTTTACATTTTGGGGGTTTTGGGACAGGATGTTGCATGTTTACAGATTGCAAAGATGAACAAAATAAAATGATTTGAATTGAATAAACACGTTGACCAGAGAAATCTGCAATTCAGGGCTGTTCTCTGCACTCTGACTCCCTTTACACAAAGAATCATCAAGTGAGGATGAGGGAGATGCAGCTGATTTCAGGTATACTATCCCAACTCAAGTGACTCACAGCCACATCTTGTTACAGAATCTAAAAATGAAGTTCAAATGATTCAGAAAAATGGTCTACAAACACAGAATTGTTGTTGTTGAACACAGAAATGTTGTTTCTGCACTTTTAAATCCATAGTTAATTTCCCTGAAATATATATTTTATTTTTGTATTGTTTTTAATTAGGAAAAGTGTTATATGTATAGTGTTATATTTATAATAAATGCAAATGAACAAAATAATGTGTTTGTCCTTGTTAAGGGCTGTTAACATGATAACTGTGACTAAGTATGTAACTTGTAAGTTTCCAGCGAGCAATTTATCCGTTGAAACAACGTTTAAAAGACGTCTATGGCCCGACGTTGAAAAGAGGTTGCAAATTGGTTCAAAAGTGAAAGTTGTTTCAACGTCTATTCGTAGACGTTGAAAAGACGTTCGCGTATAGACCCGTTTTCAACGTGATTTATAATATCGGTGGTAAACTTACAAATGTGGACGTAGTTTCTTTTTAAACCTCTAAAATAATGATATAGCACACAAGAGAGGACGAAATATTACCGTATTAAAAAATCACGTTGAAATGTGGTCTAAACATAGACGTCTTTTCAACGTCTACGAATAGACGTTGAAACAACTTTCACTTTTAAACCATTTTGCAACGTGTTTTCAACGTCGGGCATAGAGGTCTTTTAAACGTCTTTTCAACCAAAAAATGCTCACTGGGTCGCTTCACCCTGTGGACGTGTCTTTAACTACGCCTCCCGACTTCCGCATCGTAACCAAGGACGTAACCAAGGAAACGTCCGAAGGAGAAACGCGACACGCGTGTATCCGCGGGGTACAGCACGCGTGAGGTCGCATGTGGTCGTCTAGGGTTAGAGGTTAGGGGGTTAATCCCGCACCGCGAGGACCGCAGAGGTCTCGCCTTGTAGCTGCGGTCACACTGCGCATGTGCAGAGGACGCGTCCCATCCCTGGAGCAACAAACCTTACCTGCGCAGGTGTACGGAGCCGTCAGTCGGTGTGTTGGGACTCTTCTCCTCGAGACAGGTGGTTTGTAAACAAAGAAACGGGGTGTTTCATATGGAAGCGATTGGTGCTAGTTAGGAGTAGTGAGTGTAGTCGGTGACCGGTTAACTTTTGTGCTGCGTTCACATAGTGTCGGAATGATCCCAAATGGTACTGTACCGATTTGGAAAATGTACCGGAACGACTCATATAACCGGAAGTAATTCAAAACCACAACGTGTTCCCGTGGTGTGAACGTCTGGTGTCGCTTCTGCTGTACGAAGAACGGGTTCATTCATTACAATTATTATAATTTGCTTCTCAATTGCTCGCATGTCCGCGCCCAGTAAAGCGCCTGCGGCTCTTTTAAATATGTGCTCGCCGCCGTAGTTTAGTTCGCCTGCTGCAGTTCATTCCCTTTACACCCTTTTACCTTTGGGAAAATATGAGGATTCGTGCACTCAGGGGGTCATTTGGGACAGAGGCGACGATGGAAGTGAAAGGGGACAGTTGTCTCAGATCAGCTGACCATCATCTGATCAGCTGATCTGTGTTTACGCAGACTTCAGCCTCTCGATGCGCTGTTTCTAAACCCCTGTGAGTGCGTTACTTTGCAATATTGGATTTTAGGAAGTTCCCCATTGCAGGTTTCCAATCCATTTTACGTCACATTGGTATTTTCAAGATAGACTAACCGTGATAAATATTTCAAAGTTGTTCTGAGAACCACACATTTAGATATTAATGGATCTAAAACAAGTTGAACATGTGCCCTCTTTTCACCACCTGCATGCTTGCCACTTCGTTATTTTCAGTGTGCAGAATAAATGGTGAACATTTCCGTGCCGTATTAAAGACTGATAAACAGTTTTTAAAAAATAATTATTTTGACCATAGTGGGATCAGTTGCTCCAATAATTGCTGTAACTCGAAAAACATCTGCAATATCGAATGATATTCTGTTTGTTTTCTAATATTTTAAAGGCTTTTGATTGCCAGACAAGTCTTTTTTCTTATTTTTATCTAAAAGAGTAAAAAACATTCATTAATCACATTTATGATCGACTGTCATTGTCTCATTCTTTAATGAAAACTGAGACATATTTCATGTTTCTGCAGTGACCAGTGAATCCGTACCAGCACAATGACTGAGAGGAAGGTGGAAAGGACGGTTCTCAGTGTGGAACAGGCGGAGGGAGTCGGCGCTCGTGTCCGCAGGAGTATCGGTAGAAAGGAGGTCAGCATCTCACAGTTGATTTTGATCCACTGGGGACCTTTTTTTTACAAAAAAAATCCCATCATTGTAACTGCTGAAATACTACTTTATACTTTGTTTCCAGCTGAGAAACCTTGACCCTTTCCTGATGTTGGATGAGTTCAGAGTGAGGAAGCCGGCGGGTTTTCCGGATCATCCTCACAGAGGATTTGAAACAGTAAGAACAATTATGTCTAACGTATTCCAACGTATTTAGTGTAGCAACGAATACTTGTATTACATAAGATATAGAAAGTTGGAAAGCCTTGATAGGTCACCTGATGAAGTTGGGAGCATGTACCAGTTGACCCTGGTCCCAACTCCCATTGTTTCAAACTGCCCAGATCTTGATGCTTTTATTCATGTGACGGAACAATTTCAGCTGTGAGGTTTGAGTTTTTTCTGGTTTCTTTACATGTAGCGAATTCCTTTACTATTAGTCATGTAAGGCATAATCTCAACACTTTTTTTTTTTTATACTATTACAATTCATTTTAGACAATGACTATCACATAAAACCGTAGCCCCTCGGTGCTATTTTTTATATTTGCTTATATTAAATAAAATATTTTTGTCTTAATTTGAACGGTCCATCTTCTCAATGTCTTCTCTTTTTTTGACCTATGTTATTTAAACTGAACACATTGCAGTTTTGGGCCATTTCATGACACATAATAATCTGCAGTTCAATCATTGCTGACAGACCACAAATTACCACTCCTAAACCGAAGATTGTCTACAAAGACCAGGTTTTGTGCAGTGCAAAGCCGCAAAATCAGAATTTTAAAAGTCATTCTTCGAAATATATTTTTCAAACCTTCTCACAGGAAAGAATTGAACTATAGCAGAACTTTTCTGGTCCAAAAAATGTATAGTTCTGGATGAATACCTTTCATAAACACTATAAAGGTGCTGAAAAAAGATCACATGACTAACCGGTGTCACTGAGGGGTGAAGTCCCTACATTGACCACGAGGTGGCAGCAGCAGCACAGCATCCATACAGCTACGTACCACATTGCCTACAACGTGCCGATTTAAGGTTATAGTGTTAAAAGGATCACACAGAAAGCCCCAAATCTGTTGTCTGCTGGTTCTGTTTTAGTTTGCATGAGCTCAAGTGGAGCCCAGACAGCTTTGGGTTGAAATCTATTTAATGGCAATTTATTTAATGACAACTCACCAAAAAAGTGGCAGATTTTTAAAAGCAAGTCCTTTTGATACATTTGTCTATTCATTTTTGGCTTTAGAATTTTTTATTTTTTATTTGAATTGGCTTTAGCATTCTGTCCTTCACTTGATGGATTTATTTCATTCATGACTTTAGTGTAAAGTGTTAAAAATTATTCCTTGATTATTTGATTGACAGATGGAACTGATGACAACTTTTGAAAAAAACTCCAAATGTTTTTTTGGGGCTGTTTGTCAGACAAACTAAGAGCCTTTTCCCTGTCACTTGGGATTCAGTGTGATGGAAATGTGGCATCGGCATTTGCACTAGAGACACTATTGTTCAATTTAAAACAGAATGATTTACGGTACCGGTTGGAGTTATTGTCTTCATTGAACGACAACATTCAGTTTTGGTATTTGCATCAAACCATGCAAACTAGATGGAATAAGAGTGTATCTGCGCGCTTCCTGGTGACTAATGGTGTCCGACCAGGTGGAATACTGTCACCTGCTCTTCTCAATATGTGTATGGAAGATCTTGAACGAGTGTAAGACACAATGTGGTGGAAAGGAAAGAGGGAAAGTCTTCATAACCATCTGATGGATGCTGATGATTTACTGGTCCAGTCCTTGTAGCGCAAGTTTACAGCAACTGCGCAGAGTATTTAGTTTATTTTGTAGTTGCTTTTATATACAGACTCATGTCTCTGGAAATACAGTGAATATAATGTCTATAATGTTACCGGTAATAACATATTTATTTGGATTACTTCACTTTTAAAGCTGCAGTAGTCAACCGTTTTAGCACCTGGCGAATCTCTTGCCCTCAACCAACCACTGTCTTCACTCACTGTAAAATACTCCAAATACATCACCAGCACCGAGGAGCCAAAAGATACAGTTAGAGAATAGCTTGTGAAACATAGAACATTTACGTGGCTGCATTATTCACATGAACAGAAACACAGCAAATGAATAATGATGTTGTTGCTGTTTTGCTCTCCAGCTCTGATGGGAAAACAAATTATTGCTCCTTTTATGCAAATTGCATCTTAGCAGGGGTCTGAAAACTGAATGGTCAAGAATAGGTGCAGTAGGTGTTGTATTGACTACTTGCACAGTTTTTCATTACACTGCATCTTTAGAAATGGACACATTTTTACTTTTGCCTGCATTGCCCTCCACTGCTTTCTGCTTTTTTTATAGTGTGGGAAATATCAGATTTTTAAGCAATGGAAAATATAGCTACTCATAGTAAGGCCAAACCACTTAGTGATTGGGATGTTATTTTTTTGATTACGTAACATTGATGTATATCAAGACCTGTACCTTTTAACAGCAAACTTAACAAAGACATTGTCCTCAGATTGACACTCCAAATGTATTTGAGTTGGCAGATGCGTTTTAAGTCTCCCGGTGCGTGTGGACAGACTCGGCTACACTCCCAGCATGCCTTTCAGCCGCTGTGTTTGCTCGCACTCGCATGACTTTTGAAATGACACAGCTGTGGAGGCAGATCACAGGCAGCTCACTGCAGGGGCCCGAACTTTCCTCCTTACACAGATGTTCACCTCTGAACCCGTGACCCATCGCTAGGCACTTCTCTTCCTGTCCCGTCTGACCACTGGGACCCGAGTGTGGAAGCAGCTCGTTCAGGCTCATGGCCTTAATCAGTCAAAATAAGGCTTGAACAAGATGAAATGAAGTTATTTAATGCAACTAATGCTCTACATACATGTGTCTTTCCTGAAACAGGTGACCTATGTTTTAGAGGGGGTCACGGCCCATGAAGACTTCTGTGGACATTCAGGACGACTGGAAGCTGGAGATCTGCAAGTAATGCTTAACTTCTTCGGAACATTTGTTATTATTGTACAAGCTTGATGAAAAGGTTAACACCCGCTCTTGTGTTTGCATCAAGTATGAAGATACAGACTTTTAGCTTAGCATAACAAAAATAATCGAAACAGGGAAAACCGCCGGCCTAAAGAACGCCTCCAGAAACCTGTGAAGCAGTAAAATGATATCCTGTTTAATTCATACAAAAACAAAAAGGCTCTGATTGCTTGGCAACCTCACAGTCTTGACCAGACTCCTGTTGAACATCTTACTAAGGATATAAAACATGTCGAAGAGCCGGCTGTCACTCTTTGTGCTAAGCTAACTAGCTGTTGGCTGTAGTCACATATTCACCACTTACAAAGTGCTGCGCAATCGATCGTAAGTGCTAACAAAGTGCTATGTAGCCCAGGTGCAGTCGGGAGAGGTGCGTTTCCTACGGTACAGTTGTCACGGCAACACAGCGAGTAAAGCATATTTCAGTAAATGTCACACTTTTCCCTTTTTAACTTTGCAACTTATGAAATCGATTGACTGAAAATGATGTGATCTTAGAAGCGTGTTATCTACCAGTGTGATCATTTTCAGTTTGATTCTCCAAATAGTAAACTAGAAACATTCAGCCTTTCTTGTGAGGAAAGGAACAACAAGAGCAGAGACAGACTCAAGCTTATTGGCGTATGCATCTGCATTATAATGTTGTGCACGCCCTCTAATTGGATATCATGCCCTGTGGGTTGTTTCCTGTGTTTTTAAAGTAGTTACACACACACACACACAGGTTGCTGACTCAGCTTCAATTTGCAGCAGAGGTTCAGTCAGTTCAGCTGAATGTGCTGTTACCCACCATGTGCACTATCCGGTGGCTTGGCTAGGACGTGGTGTTGGAGCTACAGATGCTCAAACAGCTGCCTGCGTGTCCTTGAGGGAAATCTCAAACACTGTCTTGCATTAAAGCAGTAAAGGAAGCGGGGGAAGACGGAAGGTCAACGGAGAAAATATTTGTTTGAATCAATGTGACATCTGTATGAATCTGCTTTAGGGAGGAACTCATCAATATGTGACAACTTAGTTAAACATTGGGACAAGTATAATAATATTAAGCTGTATCATATTTTTAAATGACTTATAATCTACATAGTTTGACAATGTTCTTCTTTAACAGGACGTTATGTTCCCAAAACTGGCAACCAAGTTGTTTTGTTACGATTCGTTTTGGATTTAATTCAAATGCCACATTAATTTATAATTCTGCAGATCTGCGCTGCCTTTGTTTTCTGCTTTAATCTGTTTGTTTCGTGACCTAGTAAATAAATACCCAGCACGATGCAACAAAATAAACCAAACCACAAGTTGAATAGGCACGGATGAATACCCAGAGATCTGCATTAAAGCATTAGTTTGAGAGCAGATTTCAACAGATGCTTCTAAAAAAGAACCATCTGTTGAACCAAACTCCCTCTCATCCATATTGTTTTAAATATGAAACCAGCTCACATGTTTCAGAAGGGGTTTTATATTTAAGCAATAAGGTACGAGAGGCTGTAATTCATCGTCCAATAATGTATGCTAATAAATCCCGTCCCACCTCCGGTTGTCTTACACAATACAAATGGTAAACGGCGTGTATGTGACATGTGATTATGTTATTGTTATATTTGAAACATGACTCCTCGTCCACCAGTGGATGACTGCGGGACAAGGGGTGGTCCATGCGGAGATGCCCGTGTCAGAGGAGCCGGTGGTGGGCTTACAGCTGTGGGTGAACCTGCCCAGTCGAGACAAGATGGTGGAACCGGCGTACCAGGAGCTTAAAGGCTCAGAGGTCCCCAAAGCCAGCCAGGGAGGAGTTACCGTCTCTGTAATATCTGGAGAAGCTTTGGGAGCAAAGGTGTGTGTGTGTGTGTGTGTGTGCGTGCGTTGGTTTACGTGTAAGTGATGTCACTGAAACATCATTTAATTAAACCCCAGAGAAAAGTGCTTTCAAAATGAATAACACGTTTACTTTCCTGCTGGTTGTTGATCTCACTGTGATTGTGCGTTTGGTGGATGCTCGAGGCAATGAGGGAAAAAAAACAATGACGTGAATGCTCATGCATTCGCGTGTGTGTGTGTAAATTAGTTGCACAAACGTTAGTGGTTAATGTGGAGACTGAAGTGAGGTCTGATGATACATTTAGGCCTTAGAGATTAAATGATGCAGATTGTGGCTTAACTTGGGTGTTATTGTATTTTTTTTAATAAAGCTTTTATAATCAGTCCTCTACTTTTAAAGCACCTGTGATCACTTTCCAAACTTTGGCAAGTTCCAGCAGTAAAAGTCATTGTGTGCCAGTTTTCCCCAGGATGGAACCTGTTTTTATTTTACTTTGGGCCACCTGAGGGTGGCGATTTGTGGTATTTTATCAATTAATTCATTATTATTAAGAAAAACTGTCTGCTATAGCTAAATAAACCACAGTGAGTATAAGTCGCACGTCGGAACAGAATCAGAAAACAGTTCTCTGTAGATTCATCAACGTGAGCGACCCAATTCAAACTGTCCCTTTGTCATCTGATACATCATTTTATTTTGTTCATATAAGGTACATTGATGCGTCTGTTGTTGCTGGCCTGTCATGTGTTGAGACTATCTGACCTTGTGTAAGTCTCTCGTGTCAAAGGATCTTTTACAAGTCCCAAAAAACACTGTCCTGTGTTTATTGTACTTTAATAGATGACAGAGAGGAACTGAGAACTCTTGTGCAATGCCGGTTTAATTTCCTTAACTTTGTTCTCACGCTTTTCCCCTTTTTGTGAAGTCGTAAGTCTGAGAGTTTCTTGAAGGTCATCTCATACATTTCACTGACAATATTGCAACAAAAAGAAAGGGTTCTCGAATGCGTGACGTGTAAGCCATAAAACTACTGGTAATTGGTTGGGAATTTTGTATCAGAGAGGCCCGTGGGATTGTTGAATAGATTGGGGATTATGTGGGAAAACTACACAGCTTCAACTTGTTCAGAACCAATTTTAACAGCAGTGCAGCTGGTTGTGAACTTGTAAACAAATGAGCATTAATGTCACTGGCGCCATTACTTCAAAGTTTGCGTGCGTGTGTGTACTGTGCGTAACCATATTTAGTTCTTCTCCCACATAGTCGAAGGTCTACACCAGGACACCGACCTTCTACCTGGACTTCAGACTGCAGACAGGTGCCACGCATGTGCAGCCAGTGCCCTCCGGTAGGAGATTAGTCTGTGAGGGGGAGTTTTGGGGAAAGCCTTACTCTGATTTCATTCTGAGACTTGCATGAGAAGATTAACACCTCTTTGACGTCTGTGTTTGAAATATGACACTACAACAAGCTGCTGGCTAGCTTAGCTTAGCACAAAGTCTGGAGCCTCGCCCTGTCCATAGGAAAACAAAATCCACCTGCCAGCATTTCTAAAGCCCACCGCGTGCTGGCTCAGCACCAAATGGAAGAGAGACGCAAAGTTGGCGCGTCCGCGGAGTGTTAAGCAGCTAAAGAACCAAACCCTTAGAAAGTAGAAACCAACTAAAAGGAGATATAAACTGTTTGTTTCTGCTGCTATCAAGGGACCAGTCCTTGTGTTGCAGGTTTAAAAGAGGAGACACGGCACAAATACTGTGAATAAGTGAATAATGTGTTTATGTTGGACAGGGTGGACTACGTTCATCTACACGCTGTCAGGGACCATCCATGCCGGTGAGTTGTGTCTGCTTAACGTTCTCCTCAAAAGTCCCACTGTCCTCTCTGCATTAAGTGATATAGTTCATTTCCCTTATTGCCGGCTCATGTATCCACTACAGATTATTAGTGATTTTGTCTTCTCCCATACAGTCCTTATTATTCTAGTTGGGTATGTTTCACTCGGTTTTATTACTCCTCCATGTTCCTGCTGCCATATCTGCTTTACAACTATGTGTGTGATCTCAGTCCAATTGCAACTTCCCATCTACGTCCAGCACAACGAACCACGTGTTCCACTTTAAAGCCCCAAGGACTCGGGCCAAGAGCCCCATCGCTGGAAAACGTTATCACGCTACTGTGCATGAAATACAACCCACTTTGGCTTCAAATCAGTCACCTTATCCACACGTTATAACTACGCCTCGTTGTATCACGCGTGCGGTTGAAAATACTAAATACTCATCCTGCATACCTGCTTAATGGACGACACGCAGTCATAAGGAAACGCCTCAGACAACAAACTTATTTTCGAAAGCTTTTCTTGGTTTGTTGTTTACACCCCAAATTCCCCTTCTTTTTTTTATCAAACTTTTCTCTCTCAGACTGGTCGTAAATGCCAGCAGATGTTTTGGTGACATAAGAGGATGAAATTGGCCACAAACATTAAAGACAATTTTTTAAAATCTTAAATCTCCAACTCTGAATGTAATCCGGCCAAATCACGGCCAGCTGTCTGTGGTAAACGCATCGACCGCCAGTGGAAGTGTCTGGCGTTCTCAGCGTCGGATGTCGGGACTGTGTGTGCGTCACAGCGCTCAAACTGACCAATGTCTGAACATGCAGGTGGCTCCACTTCTATTTAATAATAACAATAATAGTAATGATACTACATTTTATTTTATAGCGCTTAAAAAGGCACCTGAGGCGCTTTACAGGATCCTACATAAATGCAATAAAATGCATGGGAGTAATGGCAATCTAAACAAGGGCAATGACACAACAGTAAGAAACAAAACAGAATTCACACGCATCACACGTTAAAAGCAGATTTAAATACATGTGATTTAAGTGCTGTTTTGAAGGTTTGAAAAGATTTGTGTTTTTAGAAACGCACCAAAAAGAACTAAAAAAAAAAACCCACGAACCTCATCACTCCTTCTAAACAAAAGGTCTATTCATATTTCATAGTCACCACAATTCGCAGTATTAATGGGCAGTATTCAGTCGTTTTCCGCCGAGGGGAACCAGATACGAGTGGCACCAGACAAAAACAGCCAGTGATTAGATAAAGAGCTCCAGTGCTTCAAGGACAAATCTGAACTTTTTTGTTTGTCAAGGCCCAGATGAAGAGCAGCAGAAGGTGGAGCCTCATCACACTGTGGTGTTTGGGGACGGAGACTGCGTCAAAGTAGAAAACAAGGTGAGAAACTTTCCTTGGCTGTATCGGAAACAATGGCAGCCTGTGGGCCACAATGAGCTCCATCGTTTCAGGTTTCTTGCCAGCATGCTGAGCCTCCCCCTCCTCCTCAGCTTGTCCCTTCACACTAATGGCGCCACGTCATTTTTTTGTCTCCCTGGTTCTCGTGAAGGAGCGCTGACGGATCCCTGCCCAACCACTGACATGCACTCTGCCTCCACCATTTAAAGCGCTCTTTCTTCTTCTTTCACTGATGTTCTTCTAGCTTTTTAGTTTTTTCTTTTCCAAGATTTTACACAAGCTTTATTCGTGGCAGGTGTTCCTGAGGGTGTTGACTGTGAGAAATATTGTGCAACTTCTATGTAACCGAAATGTGTTCTCTCTTTAATCGCGTTGTGACCATATTTATCTTGGGACGTATTGGCCGTGGGGGATGTGGGGATCAACGATTTCTAAACGAAAGTGTCCTCTACACAAAAAAGGATGACATCTTATTACCTCCTCAGGGGGCGGAAGTTTCCCGTTTTGTGCTGATCGCTGGAGAACCAATCAAAGAGCCTGTGGTACAGCGAGGTACGTCTGTGTGAATGTCCGTTAGTGCCTCAAATCAGTGCACAGAGAAATGCTTGATGAATCACAGGATGAACTGTAATGTGTAACCTTCCTGCGCTGTGTGTTCCTTCAGGTCCATTTGTAATGACGACCGAGGAGGAGATCCGACAGGCCGTCAGCGACTTCCAGACTGCGAGAAATGGTTTCGAAAGGGCCAAAAACTGGAGGTCCAGGATCAGAGACTCTTTCTGAACACAATGTATTCTCGCCCTGGTGGAAGTGTTGTCCTTACTTGTTTGCTGCTGTAGAAGCATATTTAAAGTGATATTTGTTTCGCCTGTACTTTACCTTGTCATATGTTCAAGAACTTTCTGCTTTATATGCAGTAGAGAAAACTCACCTTGTTACATCTAAACTGTATAATATTTACCTTCTGCTGTTTGAATCAACACATTAGAGCAGCTATTATAAAATTCTTGCACACGTTGTTATGAGGAAAATATATTCTACTATTAAAGGGTCGGTGGATTAAACAGGATTCATCGGATTTGGAATTGGAATACAATATTTTCCTGTGATTATATAGAAAACCTGCTTGATTGATAAGAAAGTTGTGTTTTTGTTACTTTAGCATAGTTCACTCCAAGGAGTCTGTCGTGTTGAGCCCGAGCGGACAAACCAAACTCGGGGTCCAGATGGGGGCCATTTGTTTTTGCTTCATTACTTCATTGGCTCTAGTTATTCCCAACACAGTGCACCTTTCATGACAAGTGTGATGTTTTTACCATAGCCTGTATATAGAAAGTGGACATAGTCACTGTGAGGTCACCCATTGCTTTGTGGACTGATGATTTGAAGCTTCAAGTACATTGTGTTTTTTTTGGCCATCTTGTTTTTTCCCCAAAGAAGTGAAATGAGAGGTTGGGGTACAATTGGACACAAAGTGTAAAACACACACAGAGTGAAAACCTACTGAACGATTCAAAGTTCTAAGATCAAATCACTGACCTGTCCAGAGCGGACCGGATAGCGGCGAGGTAGCGACCAGCCAATCTCAAGGTGGACCGGACGGCCTTCCTCTTGACTCTAAATTGGATCCTAATTAAACTAGCGATTGAGACCATAAACTCATTCTTTACAATGTTTACTAAGTTGACAAACCAGAGGAGGCCCCTGATCGCCATTAGAAAGAGTCAGTATTATTTTCAGAATAGTGTTTTACAGTTTGACGTACGTTTATTTGCCACATATACCAGCTGCAAAACGTTTTAATAGCCACAATTTTTTTTTTTTAAATCTTCAATTTCCTTTTTCTTTTGCATGTTTCCAAATTCCTTAGAAGATGCAACTTTGCAGCGGACAGAACGAATGCCCAACAGGCTGGTCCTCATTTGCATACAAATTGATTCTCTCATTTTCGCCATTATGTATGTTCCCGACAGATTACATCAGGAGTCAAACGGGCCTTGACGGGGGAGTGGGGGAGACGGGCGGTGCTGGCATCTCATTTTCCCTCACACGTTACGGAAGTCTGGATCGCATTTAAAACACGTGTTACTGCTCTTCGGCTGTGTGCGGTTTGGCCACTCCGGAGGAAGAGACACCGATGGGGGATTCATCGGGGGAGACACCAACACACGAGACAAAAAGAAGACGTTCTTTGTGGGAGAGACATAAGGGCAGAAAGCTTCTCGGGGCTTCTTCCTTTTGCACGGACAAACCAGAGCGGATCTGGAGACTTGGCAAAAAGGAAATTCAAAGTACAGCATTAAATTTCTTTTCAAGGGGTGGGAATATAAAGATTTGATCCAGATTCTTCAGCTGAAGATCTCAGAGGCCTTCAATCCGTTTTGACATAACAGCAGCTTCTGACTAGTCGCCGCGTTATTTAACTCAACACCTCTGGTCCTGCGTCAAAGCTTCTGGAGTAAGAGGTGCATGTTTTAAAGACCTCTTTAACCTGCACCATTTGGCTCGTGGCCGTCTGGGTTGCTGTGACCGATAACGTCTGGCTTAGAAACACACACTCGCACGCACACTCTTTACTGTGCAGCTGGAAGATCAAGGGTTTGTGTTGCACATACCTGCACCGAGAGAACTCTGAGTGAGTGTGTGTGCGTGTGTGTGTGTGTGTGTGTGGTCTGAGCTGGGCTGGGAAACGGAGTCGGAGAGGCAGCTGGGAGGCTCGTTCATTCTGCTGAGGGCTTCTCAGAGACGGCGTTCAGAGCCGGGTGATAGCGATGAAGATGAAGCGGACTCTGGGCAGAATCTCCTGCTTGGTGACTCTGGTGGTGGAGCTGAGCTGGATCAACGTGAGCCACGCCATGCACAGGGGGGGAGGAAGCAGGGTAAGAGTGGCGTGAAGCCCTATATGCCTTCAAGTGCATGTAACATGTATCACGGCAGCAATTTACTGCTGTTTGTTTTAGCACAGATTTGCTGTTTGTGCTTCACACAACGTCCTAATGCAATTATGTCCAGCGAGCACTAATTAAAGCATTGCCTGGCTTTTATGTTCTTTACGTATTCAGAGTTTGATTTCACTCAATATTATGAGAATTTCATCCTCATGAACATTGAGCAGTTGTTGCCAGGCTGCTGTAGGACATGTTCTGTCCAGGGAAGCCACTGTGATTATGTGTGCATGTGCCTCAAAAAAGAAATAAGAAAGGGACATTCAAACCGATCCACTCGACATTTTCATAATTATTCTCTTTATCAAGCTGTCATTCTCCCACTTGCTCTCTTACCTCCCTGTCAATCCCGGCCCTCTCTGTTTCTCATTACTGGGTCTATCCCGTGGTAGAAGTAGCGGAGGGGAAACTTCCCTATCGCCTCATTCTCTGCTTTCAGTGGAGACAGCCAACCCGCCCCGCCCTCCACTCTGCAACCCACAGAACACAACATCACAGGGCTGAGATGGTTACCGTTGTCCAGAGAAAATAAAAAACACAGTGCGGACCAGTGCAGTAAATTTCATGACCGCCCTCACTGTGACGTTTGCAGACTGCTCTGCTTTTCTCTTCAGAGAGTTCGCTCCCATGACGCAAGTAAAGGACTTTGTATTTCACAACATACTGAATCTTGCGTAAACTGTGGCGATCTAATCTGTTCAGCTTCTATTTTGTCTTGATTTATGTCATCATGGGACCTTTGACAGGTGGTTTTTGTGGTCCGATCCCACCAGAGAGCACGGTGAGGGTTCATCTCAGGCCTCCGTCTGTCAGATGTCCTGAGGTTAAACACGTAAATGTGCGTTCTTGGCAGAGTCATGAGACTTCAGAACGAAGAGCGCACAGAGGCACAGAGGCACCGAGGCAGGCACACAAATCTGCTGCTGCAGCTGTTGATTACTGTACAATAACAGAGGAAAGAAAGCCTGTACGATTCATCCTCTGGGAACCACGAATATCTGTACCTAATTTGACTGCAGTCCGAGATAGTTTGAGTTTGGAACAGTGATGGACGGAGAGGCAGACGGACACGGTCCTCAGCAGTGTGTGTAGAAATGTGTGTAAACTGGGGATTCGTTATTGCATAATTATTCTCCTCTGCATTAATTTCTCATTTCACCTTTTTATACTCATGACAAAATGCCGTGCTTGAACTTATGAGTTGTTTTCAATGGCATCATTCCAGTCTACTTTAATAAATGTGCCGTGTTTGTAGACGAAAAGACACAGTTTTCATGTTAATGTTATCAATGACAGCATTGTTGACTGTGATCCCTGTAGGTGATGAAGCAGTGGGAGAGGAAGGTGCGATCAGCCTCCAGCCTGGACGAGCTGCTCAGGCTTGCGGACTTTCCCGACTGGAAGCTGTGGAGGTGTCGCCTGAGACTGCAGCAGCCTGAGACGCTGTCTTCTCCGCCCTCAGTGGGCTCGCACCGCTCCACGCGCTACGCCGCCGAGTCTTACAGCCTGGAGATACTTAAAGGTGGGCCCGAAGCCGCGGCCTACGTGTCACGTGGGAGTCTGTGCGCCGAGTGGTTCTGAACATCTGGTGTCCTCCCCCCCTCAGCCATAGATGAAGAGTGGCAGCGGACCCAGTGCATGCCGAGGGAAACGTGCGTGGACGTGGCCAAGGAGCTGGGCACCGACCCCTCGATGTTCTTCAAGCCGCCCTGTGTGTCCGTCCACAGGTTTGAACCAAGCTCAATGCTGCCGCCTGCCTCCTCCTTCTTCTGACAGGTGGACGTTAAAAACCTGTACACGTCCCTTTGTAGAAAAAATGAATCTGTTTTCCTTAACAACAGATGTGGAGGATGCTGCAATCAAGAAGGGGTCACCTGCAGAAACACAACTACTGTGTATGTGAATAAAACCGTGAGTGAGCAAATGTCAGATAAGAGCACATGAAACTTTTATTGAAGCTTATTCCGGGGGTTTGAATATTGCAGCGCCGGCTGTCAGAGGGTCAAACAATGTCTAAATGTCTGAGAGCGTCATTCTTTGCATTTCAGGTCCTCAGCGTGATTCCACTTAAGTTTGTACCAGAGCCCGTGCTATTAAGAGTAGCTAACCACACCGAGTGCAGGTGCATGGAGCCCGCCATAATACGACGCAATGCTCAGCCTCACAGGGGCAGTGGGTGGGTCCAACACCTCACTCAATCTTATTTCCCAAAGGAATTTGGAACAATGTTTTGTGAAAATGCATTTTATCTTCTGTTGTGCTCCGTCTGTTCATTGGCAGCTGCTCGCCGATGGGTCAGCTGACGGAGACGGAGGACTCCCGGAGACTTTGTGCCAGTGGTTTGATTTGGGATTGTTCAGCAGACAGATGCATTCCTTACCCTTCCAGTTCACCAGGTGTGTGTGCGTCTGTATCTCAAAAAATGTTGAATTGAATGGACTAGACCACAATTGTCAAAACCTTTTCCTAGTTTCTTTGTGAGCATGTTCAGTTTCTTCTCATACGAAATGGGACACGCAAATTCTGCATAGCATGGAGGTTGGTGAATGGATGGGTTTTACAGCAAAGACTCCCCAAACTACGGTGGCCCTGAGGTGCAAAACACAATGGAAAAAAGGAACGCACAACAGCAAATAGGAAAACACAACGACAAATAGCAAAACACAACGACATTAACTTCTTACGGAACAGTAGGGCCTTATAGCAGGAAGCAGAGGACGGACCCTTCTGATTGGACGGACCCTCTGTCTGTCTTTTAACCCTCTTAATCTCAAGCCTTTCGCCTCCGACGGAAAGTGACATGGAGGATTCAAATTATCGACTAAGATGTAACTATTTACACAATCGGATTTTGAAATCTGAGAAATGACGCTATGGCCGACACGGCTCGGGAACGGAGTCCGATTCCTTGGCGTGAGTGCGTGACACTTGAGAGCCCTGTATCATTTCCTGTTAAAAGACAGACAGACAGTCCGTCTGTCCAATCAGAAGGGTCCGTCCTCTGCTTCCTGCTATAAGGCCCCACCCTTTCCATAAGGAGTTAATTTTGTTGTGCTTTCCTATTTGCCGTTGTGGTTTGCTCTTCAGGGCCACCGTACCAAACAGATGGAGGCTACGTTATGCTACGGCTATTCAACTAATAAAATAAACCCTTATTTCTTATCGCATTCATTTTGTGACTTAAATATAACAATATTACCTCCCGTTTAGAGTTCCCGCTGAGCACATGGATGCCCGACTGTGAGATAGACACCGAGCACTGTGACTGTCTCCCTCCACCTGCACCGACCCTGCAGCCAAGACCGATCCAACGCTGTCAACTCAACTCCTCCATCTGTGCCCACAGGCAACAACTCTTCCATCAAGCCTCCTGCAGGTAGGCCAGAGAGAAGCATGTAACCCTCAGCCCTATCCCCAAAGCATTTGCCTTTGTAAAAGATCTTTTCATGCAATATCACCATTGAAATGTAGCTCCATAGAAAATGATGCAACTAAATGTCTTCTCATTTTCTTTGACTTCAACAACTGAATCCAACGAAGATACACTGAAACACAACATTTTTTATACAATTCGTCAATGTACTCATATTGTCCATATTTATTGTTTACTGTTAAGTTGCTGTTTACTGCTGACATTTAGTACTTCAAGATGCTAAATAGTTCCATTAAACGCCTTTTACAAATAACATAAATCTCCCCCAAATCATTGAAATGGCAACAAACACACTGATATCGATCAGACCTCATGTGACTGAACGGGTCCATGCTATGTAGGCAAACAAAGGGCGAATGCATTGTGCGCACAGTGCTCTGTGGGGCATCGGTACACTTGTATTGATGAGACGACGATGGATAGTTGGTGGTTGTTGCCACCTGGTGTCTGTCTTAAAGCTGCACATCCAGACATCAGCTAAAAGCACGGGTGTAGTTTCCGCTAAAATGGCGCCTTGCTCATATTCAAGCCGCCCACTGTGGCTATCCGCGGGATTGAAAGGTTCCCCGTGCTTCATATGCTCTAGTCAAGCTCATTTCATGCTACTAAATCATCCCTCTTTTATTCACAGATGCAAATCGGCCGATTAGAAGTCCACTGGGGGAATACATTACGACAACCTGCTCGCCAAGGATGTTGGGAAGCAGAGAGAAAAGGCTTTTAATTTATTTACAGTCCTATTTATGGCAACCTCTTTAACTAATTTTGATGATATTAACTCACAAGACCATGTTAATTGATTTTTTTTTAACATGCTTACCTTACGTTTTAATCCACATGTAAAGTTAATGATTTGTACATTTGTTCTTTGTGTACTGAATATGTAGTTTACATTAAACAATTATTTCTATAAATTGAATTTGTGCAATGCTGTAATATTGCAATAATCGTTCATCTTAACTTATTTAATTTTGAAAATCTAAATAACACAGAACAGAATTCACCCATATGCTTTAAGGGTGCAAAAAAACACAACTTTTAAAACTTCAGGGGCTCAAAGGATTGCAGAATTCACTGAAAATTTAGGTGATGCTCCATAAGTCAGGTCATTTATTTGTTCCTAGCGTTTCATTTTCATAGAGTCTATAAAAAATATTCACGATCCTTAGACATTTTTAATTTTTCTTTTCCTACATTTAAGATTAAATGTATGTTTGTGACTTGACAGAAAAAAAATCCCCAAATGTAAAGAAAGGATTTCCATTGATCTAAATTAATTCCAAATTCTGAATGTTTTGTTGGCAAAAGTACTACCAATATGTAGATACTGCATGTAAAATAATTGTTGAATTTTTGAAGAATTACACAGACCTAATATCATCTACAGAGGTACCAACTCTCACGGTTTCGCCGTGTGACACACGCTTTTGCATGTTTTCACACGCACTCACGCCACACAACCAATTTCTCACGGCAAAAAAAAAACATTCTGATTTTGGGCCGAAGCGCCATCGTTCCTTTTCAAACTCCCCGACGATAGATGGCGCTAAGGAGCGCATCTGTAAACCTATTCGCTGCATAGACATCCTATTTACCCCAAAGAGTCCCGAAGTCAGCAACAGAAGAAGGTTTTCAAACAGACACTCAGGAGGAGCAAAGACTAAGGTACGTTAATGACATGTGGTCCAATTAAGTACTCACTCTCTTAAACTTTAAATCTGGAAAGAAATTATTAGTTGTGTTTGTGAGTGTGATTTTGAGTGGTGAATGTAAGCTGGCATAACAAGCCTCTTGGTATACTGCACGCTCAAAACATCATAGAATTGCTCACTGTGAGCAACCTTAATAAACAATGCTTAATAAATAAATTACTAACCAGCTTCTGATCTCCTTCTTAATACCTCATTTTTGTTTTATTTATGTGTATTTATATTATGTGTATACATTGTTTTTCTTTGAAAGGCTACTGTTTAAGCACTTTAAGCACTTTATTTGTTGCACTTTTTTCTTTGATAATGAAAAATATTTTTCCCTAACTAAACTTGTCATTTTTTGCTGAACATAAATCATTAAGTGCTCTTAAGAATACAATTATTAACAATATAGGTTAGTTTTCAGTTAAGAATTGTTTGAATACCATTGTAATCCAAATGTCAATCAACCTAAATTGGTCAAATCTTAACACAGGTCTTTTTATTAGGCAATATAGCTATATTGTGGTACATAGACAGTCATTGAGGCACAGCAATAGTTTTCTGGTTGAATGTTCAGCTCAAATCTAGAAGGCCCCACAAGTCATGAGGAGATGAACATGAATCAGAATAAGTTCAGGCATACCACCCAAAAATCCAGTAGAATGCATGAAATAACATCTACTTAAACCCAAATGTCCTGGGGGTGGACCATCAGTTATGTCTTTGCTTCACAGGATGTTGTCCATCTCCAGTAGGCCGCCCCTATCAACGACTTTGGGCCCCACAAACCACGGTGGCGTGGTGGTTATCACTGTTGCCTCACGGCAAGCAGGTCCTGGGTTCGACTCCGCCCAGTGGCCTTTCTGTGTGGAGTCTGCATGTTCTCCCCGTGTCTGCGTGGGTTCTCTCTGGGTTCTCCGGCTTCCTCCCACAGTCCAAAGACACGCACTGGGGATCAGGTTAACTGGTGACTTTCCTGTGGATGTGACTGTCAATTGTTGTTTGTCTCTGTGTTAGCAGGTGGACCCCGTCTCTCGCCTGGAGTTGGCTGGGATTGACAGTGCAACCCTGTGTGCAGGTGGTTTGAAGATGGATGGATGGTGTAAGTGGCTGAAGAGCAGAAGGGTGGAGGCAATATACCAGAGATATTAGTTCCATGAGACGCTAAGTTGCAATATAGCTTCCCACCTATTGGTGTCAGCCAGTTGTTTAAACAGGTCCAATAAGCACTAGTGGCGCAAAACTCAAAATTTCTGCGTATATACAATAATGACTTTATTAAGTACGGAGGTAATGAGGCGGAGCTGAGAGCCCAGTGTGTAGCGTGGACTAACGCTTCCCAACGGAAAACTGTAGCCATAAATATTAAAGCGCCATTTGAAAACCAAAGAATGGTCTACAGATGCAGAGGAAGCCTGTTATCTCACTGACTGGCAACTCTAAATCGAGCTACGAGGTATCTATATATAGAGGAACTGCTGGTTCTGTGAAGCCTAAATGAAATTAATTCAAAGTTTATAAGGATACATTTTCATTTGCACTTTATTAAAATGTTATATGTATTTTATTTTATTTGAAACGTATTATTTTGAATGTATGTATATTATTACTCTATTTTATTATATTTCTAATTTTCTCCGTTTTTGTTTGTAGTAAAAGTAATAGTTTTTTGTGTTAAGCCTGGCTTGAGCCTTTGAAATCATTGTATTAACTTTATTTCTTCCATGAATTGTTAGGTATTATTGTTTGTGCAGGTTTACACACAAATAATAAATACATGTCCTTGTGATGATCACTGTCAATCAGTTTTTTGTTTGTTAAACCTTTTTTAATTTTTAATTTTATTTATTCATGGGATACAAATCCAACCTAGAATGATATTAGTTAATCCAAGACAGTGTTGATATTTGAACGGGCCCCAAGCCAGTTTGTACTTAAAGAGTTGTGCCCCGAGGTCAAAGAGGTTAAGAACGCCTGCTATAGAGGCTACATCAGTAGGCCGCAAAGCAGAACCAAACACAAAACATTTAACCATCCATTCAAGATTTGAAAAACAATCTTTTTAAGATTTAACATTATAGCTTGATGTGCTTGAGATTAGTTACTTAAACACTGTGTTTCTTTCTGTTTCTGTGTGTGTTGTGCTTATAGATCCCTCAAACCAGTCTGACGTGGCAAAATGCAGATCTTGTTTCAACAGCACACATGCGCTGTTCAAGGCACCATAACCACATCCCTGTAGCTCTTGTGCGGTCTGAACTTGCTGTATAGTCTGCTTGTCTTCAGTGTCAATAATAGGATTTCGCTAAATCCCTAAAATAAAACAGTTTACTTTTACTTGAATTTTATACCCCCAAATCTTTTTTGCATTGACAACCACAAATTTTGTCACCATGGTCCTGTCACCTCTTTGTCTTGGTCTTGTACTTGTTGGATGACAGACAATTACAGGGAAGGAGTAACACTGAAAATACAAGACCACACGTCAGTGAGCGGCGGGCAGCGCTGTCACTCAACCAGACGCAATGGGCGCACCCATTGGGCGCAAACCTGTCTGGTTTTGATAGAAATTGCTTCCAGGTGCCTCGAGTTCCCTTTTACATTTTAGAGAACGCTACTTACCACACTAAGAAGAATACGCTTGTCTGGTTGAGAAAATGGAAGCGTTGGCGATGGAGAGGAGGATTTCTCCCTGGATCCTGCTGTCTCTTGGTGAGTTTACCTGCTGGAATTCATTTGCATCTTGTAGAGGTGCCACACCTGTTGACGCACCTACAGGTAGATATACTGAGTCGGCCCGAGCCACCTGCAATGCGTGTGGCCTTTTCTTTCTTTCTTTCTTTCTTTCTTTCTTTGTTGTTAAATCAAATGATTGTCTTAATGTGAATACTTTGTTTGTGTGCATGCATGCTAACATTGGCTGGAAGTATATTACTTTTTAGTTGGGGACCACTGATCTAGACAATAAAGAAAAGCTATACCATTTTACGTGTTTGCGCTTTGTGGGATATTTCAGTTCTATACTCTCCCGTTATAGAAACATTGTGACAGCTTTTAATGTCCTCAGTTTTTTTTGTTCTGTCATATAGAAACCAGAGCTTCCTCTGATTGTGTGGCTTGATAGTCACCACTTCCCTCTTTCTTTTTTTCTTTAAATTTAGTACATTACAATTAATCCAAACTTTGAACATACAGTTGTGGTCAAAAGTTTACATACACTTGTAAAGAACAATGTCATGGTTCTTTTGAGTTTCCAGAGCTTGCCGTATTTTAGAACGTTTGGTTTTACAAAAATATCGGAGCTCTTGAAATCCATTGGAGTTTCTTTAAAAATAAAAGCAAACGGAAAAAATCAAGGGTGATAATCAAATACTTCAACAGGATGTTATTTTCACCTGAAGTATGATAGTTAGTTACTGCATAAAGCAAATCTGTACAATGTCCAACACAAGTCCCCAGAGCTCATGATGGCGTAATGAAAATCCTCAGGTTTGTTTAACACAAACTACAAATATATTCAATTTACTGCCGTCCAAGGTAAAGAAATCAACAAAATCTTGTGTGAATTTTGTTTTACTCATCGAATGCTTTATTTTCTGCCCGTACTAATCGTTTAAGCTCTAAACAAAACAGATTTGTCTTCATGTGCAGTACTTTATGTGGGGTAAGATGTTACTTCTTTAGTAAGTAAGGAATAATTCACTGTGTAGACTCATATTACATCGGCCTGCAGTTCCACATGACCAAATTGTCTTTCAATCATCTTGTGATGAAATCATACATTGAGATGTCTAATTCCTGATATCGATCTGAATTCATACATATTCTGTTATTGCAATCCTCCATGTTGTTAAATCAAATGATTGTCTTAATGTAAATACTTTGTGTGTATCCATGCTAACGATGGCTGGAGGTATTGACATATTAGTTCATATTTCCATTTCACCTGAAATATCAATTTATTAAGGGCAAATACTTTAATCTGTCACATTGAACTCGCACAGGAGCATACAAAAATAATGTTTACCGTGTGAGTAATTCCCTTATTTTAGTGCCACATTGGAAGCGCAATATCGTTATCTACGGTTTGATATTCTGCTTTCTGTGACAGTGCTGTCAGGTGTTGATGCCCTCAATGTGAACATCCCGACAAAGTTATACGAGGTTGCCAGAGGTGATAACATCACACTGCCGTGCAAATTTATTCCCAAAACCC